GTACGGAGTACAATTTCACTTCGAGGTCAAACCGCCGCCGTGACAGGTTGCAGGTGCATCAAAACACCGTCAAGCCCAATCTGGTAGCAGACTTGGCTATTACTGCTTTCTGGAACAACTGGAAGCCACTTGATGGTACTCACCAGGCAAACAACCGGCTGTATCTTGCACAGCAAACCACAAAAACCAAAAATCAACGATCTTGCACAGCAAACCACAAAAACCAAAAATCAACGATCTTGCACAGCAAATCACAAAAACCAAAAATCAACGATCGCTCGCACTTGTTACAAATTAGTTGCAAACAACCAGCTGTATTTCGCACAGCAAACCACAAAAACCAAAAATCAGCGATCGCTCACACTCGTTACAATAATTATAGTTGCACTGTTTGCAAAACAAAAGTACAATGCACATGTACCAAGAATGGGGGGGGGGCGGGGGCCGGGGGGGGGGGGTATGTATAGTTATTGTCCGCAGGCATGGGGCTAGAGTGTGCAGGCTAGTATGGGTATTGCTCTAATAATAAATAAATAAATAAATATTGAGGTATAGTTGATATTCAATCATGAGGAAGGAGAGGTGGAGCTACGGGAGAGATGGGCTAGTTATTCGCAGGTTGAGGTTGGCATCAGTTGTCAAGGGTTGGACGAGCATGACGATTAAGAAGACAGCTGAACATGATAATTTTCAAAGATAACTCAAACTAATTTGGCAATGAAAAAGTCTTTTTACAAAAGAAGTCAACTAATGAATAGAAGAAGACAGTAATGTTTTCTCTTTTCCATGTTGACCCATGTTGATCTCTAACATGCATGGGCACCTCGGTATGGGGATACTCATGATTGTATTTTGTTGTACTTAGGGCCACTTGCAAGTACGAAAAAGGCACATTTCCGAACTTTGAGGCTCCATAGTTGATTAATTAATATGGTGGTAAAGACACACCTGGCAATATGGCGGGAAACACACGCCTGCCCACACAGGCTCTCTAGGCTGCAAAGCAAGGCACAGAGCTCTCCTTCTCACCACCACCACCACCACCATCATCAGTTCGCGCCTGGCGCCTAGTCGATCTCGACTCGATGCATGGTTGGCGGTATCCGACATAGCAGGCTGGTACATCAAGTAGCACATGGCACATAGAAGATGACACAGCAACGACATAGATCGATTGCGACGTAGATCTACGTTTCGTCCCCGCTGGTCTCATCAGGCAATCTTCTTCTTGGATGTCTTCATACGGAGCTTGACATCGCTGCATCGACTAGGCGCCAGGCGCGAACTGATGGTGGCCTGGTGGTGGTGAGAAGGAGAGCTCTGTGCCAGAACTTTGCAGCCTAGAGAGCGTGTGTGGGCGGGCGTGTGTTTACCGCCATATTGCCAGGTGTGTCTTTACCACCATATTAGTTCATCAACCATAAGTACAGCTGCAGTGGTGTCTTCAACTTCATTCTCCCGAGTAAAGGTCCGTATGAAGACATCCAAGAAGAAGATTGCCTGATGAGCTCAGCGGGGACGAAACGTACGTCGCAATCGAGCTACATGTGTGTCGTTGCTGTGTCATCATCTATGTACCATGCGCTACTTAAAGGGGAAGTTAAGGCAAAAATTAAAATTTCACCAGTTGTAGTCTTCGGGGTTCTGAGTCGAATGGTCTTGGTCCGAGGAAGCTGAGACGCTCCCTTCCTACTTGAATCCCAATCGAGCTCGCGCACTTCCACCGAAACTGGGTGACTGCGCCCTACTAGATGGGGATTTGTATGCAAAATGTCACTAAAAGCGCCATTTCGTTCTTATAAAAGCACGGATGACCGCGATTGGCCCATATGTTGTAGTCTTTTGGACGCTGAGTCGACTGGTTTTGGTCCGAAAAGTCTGCGATGCAGCGTTCCTCCTTTATTCCCAATCGAACATGGTTGAACAAGCGGTCACGTGCTCCTGGGTGCCCAAATCACCTGGTCACCACGCCAGCAGGTGACAACTTTCACACCAAGGTTCAACTCGAGTTCAACTCGAGTGACAGGACTGCACCCAAAAAAGGTCAAACAGGCTAGTAAGTTGTACCCTGCAGGCACGGTGACCAGGTGACTGGTGTACGCAGGAGCACGTGACCGCTTGTTCAACCATGTTCGATTGGGAATAAAGGAGGAACGCCGCATCGCAGCCTTTTCGGACCAAAACCAGTCGACTCAGCGTCCAAAAGACTACAACATATGGGCCAATCGCGGTCATCCGTGCTTTTATAAGAACGAAATGGCGCTTTTAGTGACATTTTGCATACAAATCCCCATCTAGTAGGGCGCAGTCACCCAGTTTCGGTGGAAGTGCGCGAGTTCGATTGGGATTCAAGTAGGAAGGGAGCGTCTCAGCTTCCTCGGACCACGACCATTCGACTCAGCACCCCGAAGACTACAACTGGTGAAATTTTAATTTTTGCCTTAACTTCCCCTTTAATGTACCAGCCTGCTATGTCGGATACCGCCAACCATGCATCGACTAGGCGCCAGGCGCGAACTGATGGTGTTCTTGTTGTTGAATTTTATTTAAAGTCGCAAGTGATAGAAGTCACCGAAGGTAACTGAATATGTTACAGATAGATCTGCGGGAAAAAGAACCCTGTTGAAAACCGAAAACGTAACTGACCGAAGGATTGACCATTGGTGACCAGATAAAAAAGTGATCTATTTTGAATACTTCGACGCTTTCGAGAGAGCACAGAAATGGGCGTGACAAGGTTCACAGCGCATCATGGGCGGAGTCTTGTTCCAGAGAATGGCGCCAATGAACTGGATCGTACCTCGACCAGAAGGACCAGGCCAGAAGGGTACCTGCAGTAGGTTTTGGTCAGCTCCACGGGTGCGATCACTCTGTGTTCTGGCGTAGTAATTCCTAAACAGGACACTTGAACGGCCATGAATGCAGCGGCGAACGAATATTAGGATTTTCGCTGCCAGGGTGTCCTCGAGGGTAGGAAGACAAAGTCTCTCGAAGAGCCCTGCAGTGGAAGTCCACGGTGGAAAGCCAAAGAAGGCACGGATTGCAGCTTTCGTCATTCGAGTGAGGGCGTCCATGTTTCTGGCCATCAGAGACGGATAGATTGCATTGGACGCGTATGTTAGTCTGGACATGATCATTGCATGATAAAATAGCTTTTTCGAGGAGACTGTCAAGCTTTGACGTGAGCGCCATAGCGCACCAATGGAGCGTCGAACTTGGCGAATGGTGTGGTCGACGTGGCCATCCCAGGAGAGCTCATTATCAACAATAACTCCAAGGTAGCGAGCCTGTGACACAATTGTTAGCAGTTTCCCGTCGCAACGGATCTGGAGTGGTTCTGCACTCTGCTGCCCACCACGAGGTGACCTGAGTCTTCGTCTGGTTCAGCTTAAGGTGGCAGACTACCCAAAAATTCGCTGAAAAATCGAATTTGTAAATTCATATTGAGTGCTACGTCAGTTGAAAGAGCATGAATAGCTGCAAATTCTCTGAAAATTGTGTCCCGATCTGACCGGCCGTTCAAGAGTTATGGCCGAAAATGTGCCCTTGCAAGGAAAGATTTTTTTGTTGCACGCTGTCATTTGTTGGCAGCACTGTATTTGAATGTGAGCAGACCGTGCGCAACTAACTTACTTGTCGTATCATGGAAACACGTGAAAGTGTGCAGAATTTTGCTCCAAGTCCAAAAAATCAGGTTTTTGAGCCACGTATTGGGCTGCACGGACTTTTGCCAGCACCCTCGTGACGTTGCAGATACATGTATGTGGCTTGATTATTGTAGTTGACGTGACGTTGATTTAGTGACTTTGGCAAGTTTGAGTCGTGTCAAGAAGTCAGGTAGGACTCAGTACTAGGCAGTAGTGAAACGTGAGTGGTAGTCTTTGCCGGTTTCTGAGGGTATCCTGGATTTGGTGTGCAGCGCTGTGGAAATGGCTTGCTGTGGAGGTCCCAGCACTGGATGTTGTATCAAAGGTACGACCTCGTAGCACGTGCTAAACCTAAAAAAATTCAAGAATTGACTTGGGTCTGTGGGAGTGTGTGAGAGAACGCCCACTCGTTCCGTTGTGACAGATTCCAGGGCCTCGTTGAGGGGCCCTACCCCATCACCCATGGCTGCTTCTGGACTTGTTCTAGGTTTGAGTCCCGCGCACGAACAGAATGAGCACGAAAATGTGAAAAAGTTGTAAATGCATTTGTTTGGCTCCTGGGTGGCTCGCACACCGTGGCACCATGCCGGAAATTTGAGTTTTTCCGGCCTGGAAAGCCTGTCAGTGAGGCGCAAGAACTTGTAAATCATGTCCTGAGGGCCAGCATAGTGGCAGGAGTGTGTGGTCAAAATTTCACTCAAATCCATTGAGAAACACCAAAGTTACGGTCAATTGAATTCCATATGAAATTTATGGGTAGGCTGCCCCCTTAAGGCCACGGTCCTCAAGCCAAGTTGCCAGATTGGTGACGGCGGTGCTTAGGGAGGTGCACACCACTGCTCGACTCCCAGATGCCTCGAGAACGATGGTGGTGGTGAGAAGGAGAGCTCTGTGCCAGAGCATTGCAGCCTAGAGAGCATATTGCCAGGTGTGTCTTTACCACCATAATTATTAGTTTATCAACCATAAGTACAGCTGCAGTGGTGTCTTCAACTTCATTCTTTGAGGCTCCATAACTTGGCATAAGTACAACAAAGGGAATATGTATCCCAGCGTGCCAAAGCATAATATGAGAGTTTTGCGAGCATAATGCGAGAATCCATGAAAGCACAATTCCATGATTTCGTCAGCATAATCCGCCGGAGCCTAACGACAATGACCGATGGTCGCAGGAGCTGATTGTTTAGTAACTGGTGGTGTTAGTGGACATTATAGTGTAACTTGTAGTTCCTTGGTTCTTTTTACTTTTTATAAATAATCCTTGGCTCTCCATCCGAGAAAAGAATTTGTATGGCAATAAAAAGGATCAACTGCTCACTCATTCCATACACACATCAAGGCAAAGGTGGTGGGTAATTTACAAGAACATTTTCTCACGATTGTCAGCAGTTGGATTAGCATCACATTATTGATAAGAAGGAAAATAACAGAGTATAGCAAGAAGTTATTTGTCATTCCTGACGATGGTCACAGAGATCGAAACTCTGAAAAACCTATCAGATTGTGTGTGAAAATGCAGTGCTTTTTGAGTGTGGGCGAGTTGCCTGCAAATGTGTAATAGTTCTAGAATCTGATAATGAAGGTGCATGAGGCGTCCTTAAGAATTTTGAAAAGATTTTTTTTATAATGAAAGACTGAAATATGAAGTGGTGAGCAGCATAGAAAAGGTATCGAACAGCTAACTACAAACAATGGACATGTACATGTACATGCGTTAGGTGGTCGACGGCACACTCCCTGCTGGGTCACTCACTTCGACAAACATGTGCATGTGTAGGTAAGCTCACTTTAACTTGGCCTGGGAGGTGTGCCTATTGGACAGTCTTAGACGTATCTGTAACTATAGCGGGTGACCTGACACAAGTATCCATCGATGGGACGATCGCAGGGCAAGTCGTTCCACCCACCGCGGGCGAGTTGCAAGCAGTTCTCCGGGTGACCAGCGTAGTCGTTGTTGGGCTCGCCAGGGAACCACCTGGTGTAGGAGAATGCTTCGCCTGTGAGCCATCTCCAGCGACCCTCGTGATGTCTGTCAGTGCCGCCAAGCCAGAAGTTTGTGTTGCTTTGACGGCCACGGGCAGACAGGAAGGTGTACAGTCGGTGATGCTCCGCGGAATTCCTCGCCTCAGCCAGCGTGCCGCCTCTGGCTTCGCATCTTGACTTGGCCGTGAACCAAGTAACACGGAGTGGCACGAACATCTCGATGTCTGTCCTTGCAACGCGAATCCTTCGCCTGGTGGTGACAGTCTCAGTGGTCGGAATGGTTGTGGGGGTGGTCGTCGGTGTAGTTGTTGGCACTGGAGGCGTAGTTGGTGTAAGAAGGCTGAGTTCGATGTTGGCGTTAATCCCAGCCACAGAGAGATAGACAGCGTCCATTAGACCTTGAAGTGACCGCAGAGCCGACGTTACAACCTTCTCCATGTTTCCCATTGTGGTCTCAACTGATTCTTTCAGGTCGGCGTACTGTTGATCACTGTGTTCCTTGGTAAGCCATTTCTCCTCACAGTGTCGCCCACTGTAGCCAATAGCACAATCACATGTGAAATTATCGCTAGTGCTCTCGCATATCCCGCCATTTAGGCAGGGCTCCTCCTTGCAGTAGTCCTTCGTCTGGCACACGAAGTGAGCGGCCCCTGTGCTCTTTGTCCACATAACGCATTCGGAGTTATCGTCGCAGGCCTGGTAATTTCGACAACCTTCCGGCCTGGACAAATCGTCGACAAGCGGTGAATGACAGTCTGCAATCATCTCTATGTCGGTCACGTTGGTGATGCCAGCCTTCTCCAGAATTTGCAATGGCTCTCTAACCCAATCCTGTGGATTCACTTTTGCCAGCGCCAGAAACCTGGAGTACTTGCGAGCGAGGTGTCTGTCGATTCCAGCTGTCGCGAGCATGTTCACAACACAATTTTGTGATTTGGACTCCGGGTGCTCTGCTGGTGCGGCTCTTACAGACACAAGTACAGCGGCCATTAGGCACACGACCTGCAGGATACCAGCTCGTAGAGGAGCCATGCTGTCGGACTTGCTAGTTTTGTGGAGGCAGCAAGGCTGAATACTTTCTCCAACACTGGCAACTAGTCAGGAACACTGTACTCTGGTGAAGTACTGAGCCAGTATGTAAGTTAGCAGTAGTGCCTGTGTCCTTTCCTCTGCCTCTTTGGGTTAGCACTGATTCGCTCCGTAACCTCTCGTCTGTTTTATACCGTGTTGTTCGTACTCTGCAGGATTGGTCATGATCAGCATGTCATGTTCACGCCCAGATTACCCGTAAGGAAGGACACTTTACAAGTGTGTCCCCCGACACCCCCTGCCTCTAGCCTCCATTCTCCTTCTCCTCCATTCTCCTTCTCCTCCATCCCATATAACACACCGTACGCGGCTCTGCGCACTCGTAGGGAATATAGGGACGACTTAGACTGAATCCCTCCCCCTTTCCATTGGACCCCGTCATGACAAATTCGCTACATGACTCTGTCGTGCACATTCAAGAAGGCGAAACTGCCTGTTTGTGGTGCGACATCTGATCAGCACAACGTACACAATCATAGAGATCCAGCGCAAACGACTCTGTCAGCATTGCACGTTTCGGAACCACTGAATCTTCCACTGACACCAAGTCCGAAAGATGCTATTCGAAACATTAAAAAATCTTTCGGGTTGTCATGTGCTGATGCGTGGGTGTAGATTTACAGTGTTATTACGCTTCTCGTTCGGAGCACGTCTGCGCGGATACATCGTACTTGGGCACATGTCAATCCCTGACTGGGACTGCACGTAACGCTTGTCGTGATTGTCAACTGTCTGCCTGGACTGGCGGGCATCCTGACGTTGACATAATGGTCGTCCTCCGTCACAGCAAGGCTGCTGAATTTCGTTCATACGTCAAGACTTTCTTAGGGTTCCCTGTAAGAAGGCGATGACGCCTGTTGGGAATTCCCTAGTAAAATAAGAATAGAAATAAAAAATAAAAAAGGAAGCCGGTCGAGCTACACTCAATTGTACAATCATAACTAGCATTCCTCCTCTCTCTCTGCAAAGATCATGCCCGTGCGCTTGTATTGTCGTGAATAGAATGATGAGGAAACAGGGTTTTCATATACATTGTACTCGATATAGCCCCGTACTATGTTTATCCGAATAACAATTGTATGACGTGTATCAAGGAGACGTACCTGCAAAACAGTTTCATGACTCTCTGGTACGGAATCACCACAGCTTTAATCTCGCCTACCACTACCAGGAGGCATGGTGTATTCATTACATTATAGGGTATAGTGAATATTCTGATGGTGGGTTGGCTCCTGACATCAGCAGCAAGTGTGTATTGCAGCGGTCCGCCTCACGACTTGGAGCGGATGTAATAATAATAAACACGACCCGCTCCTCCGGTAGGCGGGTAGCTGGGAGGAAGGACTATGGCAAAGTCAGCAAACAATAGTAGTAGTAGTATTGACATATCCGCGGCAAGCCGCTTATGTACAACGGCATGGGAGAGGATAACAAAAAATGAAAATATAATTATTGTTGGGGAAATCCACGCTATTATCGAATATTCAACAATGACGGGTGTGGGGTTATACCAAATTCCCATAATGTGGAAGTACGTTATTATTGTTGAAAGCACTAGGTGATCTGCACTCTACAATGTGACCTGTGCGATTATATCGTTGAATGATTGCCTGTTCCGAGCCACCAAACGCAAACAATAAGAGGACGGAAAAAGTGTTTTAATTATGCAGTCAGAAAGTGTTGAAGCGAGGTGTCAGGACGTCGAATGTCTCAGTACTCTGTCAGCTTTGTGCCTAGTTGTTGAACTTTCTGACTGTACATACATGTACATGTAGTATCTAGTTACAGTGGTGGACTTGACTCGTATCCATAATGTCCTTTTCCTTTCTACATTTATTATTGTCTCAACATCCGAGTATCTACACATTGTACTTGTACTTAGTACTTACAGTGGTGGACAGAGATACACTGTACTAGTAGTACATGTACTCACGACTTCATTCTATTTCATTGATATCAGCTGCGTGTGTTGAATGGCGACCTGATCGCGGCGGAAGAGCAGGAGGAGGGGGGGGGGGGGGGGAAGCAGATTCTGATGGCGCGCTGGAAGGCTTGCAGCATTTTTTACGTATTTGTAGGTGGCAGCGTTCAGAGCGGTGCAGCAGACTGTATGGTAGACTGGACTATAGAAGGTTGGGCGGAGTGTGCGAGTAACGAGTTACGTTAGTTGGTGTTGTCCTGGACGGTAGGCGCTTGGTTTGTAGCTGACACTCACGTATGACATGATGATCCCTGCATATACGTACATGTACATGTACCTGATCACGGACACAGGTGGCTGAGGTGGGAGAAGCTGCACTGCACACAGCGTGCTGCGCAACCTCACTATTGTCGAGAGTACTTCATTTCAATAGTGATCACACCCTTAGGGCCTATTCACTTGATTGTATAGCTAGGATTCCAGGAGAAATACTATAATTATGCCAATGTGGCGCTAGTACCACTACATATTGCCAAGGCACAATTAATCGAAATCCAACCATAGTTTGGAAGTTAGTTGAGGGGTATATCTTGGGCGGGTCGATGACCAGTTGATTCTTCCTTCCAGATTCCTTCCATCTCATTCCATTCTCCCGTGCACTTTGACCCACCTCGCCGTCGTATGCGCGTCGTGCATGCGTGTGTGTGTGTGTGTGCGCGCGCGCGCGCGCGCGTGTGTGTAGACTTCATCATTCCATGCACGCGGCCATGGACTCTTGGACAATACCATCTAGCCGCCTTAACTTTTGTATTTATCATAGTTGACATTTCCTGGCTCGTCAAACGACTGCCAATGACAAATGAATGAGAAATGAAGGTGTGATTCAACCACGGCAACAATCCGAAACAGTACAAAAATGTAAACCTAAAAGGCATGAAGGAATCGAGAGTTGAAAACATCCCGAGGTTATTCGCTAGATATAAGACGCTTGAGCTTGAGCACGACTTCCAGTATTCCACCGCCAGAACAATTACCGGTACATGCCCGAGCTCAGCGATTTCCGGATATTTGAGAACACAGGCTGCTGGGCGAGTGCCGAGTGGAACACACACTGCACTGCCGCCCATCGGCATCGAAAAAGAATGAGATTACGCTCCTTGCACCTACTTAGTACTTTGCAAGCATGGGTTATGTCGCCGTGGGGCACTGACTGTGTCTGTTTACGAGGTTAAGAGAGTGCAGATGAGGGTAAGTAGAGGCAGGCGCAGTTCGCTAGATATAAGAGTCAGTGACGCTTGAGCTTGAGCACGACTTCCAGTCTTCCACGGCCAGAACAATTATGCCCGAGCTTAACGATTTCCGGATATTTGAGAACACAGGCTGCTGGGCGAGTGCCGAGTGGAACACACACTGCACTGCCGGCCATCGGCATCGAATGGAATGAGATTACGCTCCTTGCACCTACTTAGTACTTTGCAAGCATGGGTTATGTCGCCGTGGGGCACTGACTGTGTCTGTTGACGTACATACTAGACTACTTGTACTGTCACGTTGTAGAGAGAGAGAGAGAGAGAGAGAGAGAGAGAGAGAGAGAGAGAGAGAGAGAGAGAGAGAGAGAGAGAGAGAGAGAGAGAGAGAGAGAGAGAGAGAGAGAGAGAGAGAGAGAGAGAGAGAGAGAGAGAGAGAGAGAGAGAGAGAGAGAGAGAGAGAGAGAGAGAGAGAGAGAGAGAGAGAGAGAGAGAGAGAGAGAGAGAGAGAGAGAGAGAGAGAGAGAGAGAGAGAGAGAGAGAGAGAGAGAGAGAGAGAGACTCGAAGAGAGAGAGAGATACAGAGACTCGGAGTGAGAGAGAGAGACTCGAAGAGAGAGAGAGACAGAGACTCGGAGAGAGAGAGAGAGAGACTCGGAGAGAGAGAAAGCTGAGAGCAGCAAAATGATCTAGTACACACCGTACGTCATCCCCACTCAAGCAAGGGGTGCATGACGCATGTACGCGTCGGATAGCTGCGGCTCTAGCCTATCCAGTGGTGTGCTCTGCTGGTTATGATTTTCTAGACGTGTGACTCGGTGTGAGTACGGAGTTGTGGAGGAAGGAATGATCATCGCCGTCCCAAAACACCTGCTAGTCACGTAACCACGATACGTGCATGGTGTATGTGTATGTAAAGCTGTTGTAGTTCATACATGACATCATCGTGGACACCACAGTGTGCTTCCACCGCCACACATCACACCCCCTGCCCAGGGCCCCCATGGCTTGGCCTTGTCCTGCCTGGTGGTTTCTCCGCCTCTGCACGCTCCATGCATAGTTCGCGCCTACTGCGCATGCCCATCCTAGTGATGTAATTCTTATCACTCGCTCTTCCCGGCATGCATGCCCTGCATTGATAACTCACACCTCCTCTACATGCCCATGCGTATCCCCCACAATAAGAACAAGCTATCCCGCGACAAAAGCATTAGTTGTCTGATGATTCCCTTAGCATTTGGCTACGTGCATGAAACGCAGCGTTACAACGTATGTATTATATAATTGGTGGAACCATTCTTTTTGACCTTTGTGACATCATCGTGATATTGTATTATTCAGCTCCGTCTCATTTTGTTCTGAGTGTCAACCCTCAACTTCGGTACCTTTGTCCTACCCTCGCCCTCCCTGCAATGATCTTTCGTTCCGAGGTTTGTCTTGAGTCGGGTTGCACAGTGCTTCTGCAACAAAAAAAAGAAAAGAAAAAGAAAACAAGGAAAGCCGGCCGTTCGAGCATCCACGTCACGACAAGGACATACCATCTTTTTTTTGTTTTTGGTTTTCTCCTTTTGAATTGCGCTTATTGAGTTTACAAGAGAGTTTATTGAGTTTATTGATTTAGTTCTTTTTAAACGTAGATCTACATGTACGTCGCAATCGAGCTACATGTACATGTATATGTATGTCGTTGCTGTGTCATCTTCTATGTGCCATGCGCTACTTGATGTACCAGCCTGCTATGTCGTATACCGCCAACCATGCATCGACTAGGCGCCAGGCGCGAACTGATTAGATGGTGGTGGTGGTGGTGAGAAGGAGAGCTCTGTGCCAGAACTAACTTTGCAGCTTAGAAGTTAGAGAGCCTGTGTGGGCAGGCGTGTGTTTACCGCCATCTAATTATTGCCAGGTGTGTCTTTACCACCATATTTATCAACCATAGTTCTTTTTAATTATAAAAAAATTGATTTGAAGTATTGGTTTGGGTTTGAACTTACTACGGTTTAGCCACGGTCTTGTACTACAGCAAGACTACGTGTATTTGTGCAGAATTTACAGGACATACCGGTATCCACTTTGATCATTCTAGATGACATGTACTTGATTGTATGACCTACGCAGCAGGGGCTCACTAAACCGTAGCCGGAATGCATCTAAAAGAGCAGAGGACAAGCAGTGCAGAGGAGTGCACCAAGGTATGCTGTTCTGTCCCCTGAAAGGAGCCCACATACTAGTATTTGCTATTATATTATAACCCAATACTAGTAGAATACTACTGTTGTATTAGATAAACCTTGTTATAGTTCACAGTGACACATGTTGTTAGTTTGACAGCATGAAACAAGGTGGAGGACACCGTGTTCGAAAAAAGTGACCCTACCACAAGAGGGTCAGAACCGGGTCCAACACCCATATTGTTCAGATGATCCCAACGGACCGGGGCTCTACCCACGGCCACCGTGGAAGGTTGTGGTAAGGTCACTGTTTTCGAACACAGTGTCCTCCACCTTGTTTCATAGTATTTTTACTACCGTACCGGCAATATATGTTGCCGCAGTGAGGCCATGAAGCGTTACATTGGCACATGTTTGCCGCACGCAGGGCGTTACATGCAAAGTCGCACAGGAGCCGTTACACAGGTTTCTATATTGCCGCAGTCCTTTTTTTGCTATTGCCGCATCACTTTTTGCTATTGCCGCATCATTTTTTTGCTTTTGCCGCATCATTTTTTCTTTTCATCCACATTGAAGGCACAGAAATTCAGTTGCTATCCAACTGTTACAAACCCGACGGCAAAGGGCGACATCGATATCAATAGAAGACTGTATATTTTAACTATCAGAGTGATCTGTTCACAAAAAGATCATCAAAAGGAAAGTGACATAGGGGAAGAGCGCTTCCTCCAAAAACTACTTTTCACCACGCGGTACACGTGCTTTCACAGTTTTCAGCCTTTTTTTGCAGTGCAAACTGCAATGAAAAGATCGCCGCACCTCGCCGGACGCGCGTTACGAACTCAACGAAAATTTGTCGCACTAGCCTGGTCGCGCGTTACGCCGCACCCCCCTGCGTTACGCGTTACGCGGCAACATATATTGCCAGTACGGTAGTACATGTACAGTGAAACCTGTCTAAGACGACCGCTCAAGGGACCTTCAAAATGTGGTCTCTGGTACCAGGTGGTCTCCTTATTCAGGGTCATTTGACTGGAAATAGCATCCCTTGAACCTAGTTTCAGTGGTCTTCTTGGACAGGTGGGTCGCCTTATCCGAGTGGTCGCCTTGACAGGTATTACTGTACTAGCATTATCACCAGTGAAGAAGGACTAGACTGACTGTACCGTGTACGTACATGTACATGTACATGTAGTACTTGATCCTGGTGCAGGTTACAAATCAGAGTAGATCTGATGCGGGCCGCAGGCTTCACCGGCACCGTTGATCACACACAAGTTAAAAATTATAGATTCGTGACCAATAAGGCAATAGTCGATTACATATATGTGACAGATCCAGTGGACCTGTCTGAGTGGATCAGGTCCTCGCACAGCCTAGGGTGGGACCAAACATTTGTCCGGCCGTGGCCATGTAAAGAGATTTACAATGCAGGATGTGTACGGAATAGTACAATTTCACTTCGAGGTCAAACCGCCGCCGTGACAGGTTGCAGGTGCATCAAAACACCGTCAAGCCCAATCTGGTAGTAGACTTGACTATTACTGCTTTCTGGAACAACTGGAAGCCACTTGCTGGTACTCACCAGGCAAACGACCGGCTGTATCTTGCACAGCAAACCACAAAAACCAAAAATCAACGATCTTGCACAGCAAACCACAAAAACCAAAAATCAACGATCTTGCACAGCAAATCACAAAAACCAAAAATCAACGATCGCTCACACTTGTTACAAAAATAGTTGCAAACAACCAGCTGTATCTTGCACAGCAAATCACAAAAACCTGAAATCAACGATCACTCACGCTTGATATAAAATAGTTGCATTGTTTGCAAAACCATTAAGTTAAGTAGATTGTACCAAGAATGGGGGGGGGGGGGATATGTATAGTTATTGACCGCAGGCATGGGGCTAGACATCCACAGTGCAGTCATGTCGATCAGGACATGCTGGTAGCTCTCTCTTGGTCAGGAGTGCCAGGAACTGATAAACCCAGCTTGCCTTGGTACACCCGATTAACCTGACAGCAACAGTGGGACAGCAATCGGGACCAGTTTATGCTCATTCGTCCAACCCAGATCTCGCAGCATCCATTAGTACTAGATCCCTGAGACTGGAGCCGGATAGGTTACGCAGCCAAGAAATCTTAACACCGAGAGCGTGTTTGAGAACTGCTGTTGCTTCATGGGGATGTAGATCTGATAGCTTTACTAGCTTACACTGGCACATGGATGGATAAGAACACATGATAGTGCAGCAGTATAACCATTTAGTTAGGCTCCTGGCCCCGGGGGTAGCACTAGAAGGTACTGAGGCAAGGTTCAGCTAGCCGCCCCATCTCCAGTCCGGTTCTCCATCAGGACAATCATACCAGCACTGACTGACTGGCTGGCATGCATTCACATCAGCCGGTGCTAGTGGAGAATGAATCCGTGCATGCTGTTATCCAGTGGGCAGCATCACCACATCACCACATCACCAGCCTGTGGAGCTCAGTTGTAGCCCATGTACTTCGTGTGGAACTCCCTGGTGGTACGCAGTGCCTTTCTCTGCGCCAGTTTCGCTTGCCAGTCGTCGGGGTCCAAATAGCCGCGTAGAATGGACACCAGGCGACTATGGTTGTTGCCGTCCAAGCATTTCTTAGCTTCGGTGATCACCTCGCCTTTGTACTTGCCAACTATCGACAACAAGAAAGTTACAGCAGACGGAGGTGAAATAATTATGGAGAAGCCATTGGAAATAGTCTTTTCAGGACATATTGTACACAAAACGCTATGATTCTCGTAACTATTTTATGGGATGTCAGATCTGTATCAATGACAGATCGAGCATGTTTCACCGCCGCTTGATAGTAATGTGCTTAGTGCTTACCACATGACTCACTCGCGCAGCCTCACATGCATATACGGAAACGCACAGTCCATGTACAGAACAAGAACAGCAAGAGCAACGGCAGCTGAAGTAGCACCAGCAGCAGCAGAAGTAGCAACAACAGCAGCAACAGCAGCAACAGCAGAAGTAGCAACAGCAGCAGCAGCAACAGCAGAAGTAGCACCAGCAGCAGCAGAAGTAGCAACAGCAGCAGAAGTAGCAACAGCAGCAGCAGAAGTAGCAACAGCAGCAGAAGTAGCAACAGCAGCAGCCACATCAACAGCCAAAGTATACTACAAGTAGGAGTAGACATGTACATGTACACAAGGCGTCGACCTTCCGAGGATTAGCTCTCTCTCTCTCTCTGCTGCAGTGGTAGATTGTGACTCACGTTTCAGTCGTCCATACACCTGCAGTGCATGGTTGAGTTGCCTCTGCAGCTCTGTCAGCTGATCGTGTGTTGTCATCCGTATGACGTGACCGTGAACAAGGTCCAAGTTAAACTCATACAGAGACTTGTAGGTATGACGGACTCCCGTCCTGAAATGCACACATATGTGCACACACACACACACACACACACACACACACACAGACACGCACACACATACACACGCACCCCCCCCCCACGCACACGCACACACGCACATGTACACATAATATACTTTAACACTCATCAACAGACACTGGCATGGTAAACGGCAGTGCAACGGTGGAACATGCACTGGAAGAAACGGCACCTTATACAACACGGGGAATGACCTTTCAGTAATGGGCTATATGCTGGGATTCCTTTCGGCGGTGCGTGACTCTTCCACATACACTTCTTCTAGCTATTTCAATCAAATGAAAGCATGCTGAAACTTCACATCCTGACCCGCTTCCCATGCAGAGACAAAGGACTCATCACTCATGCGCATTCTTACACAGACCAGTACTGACCAGTACTGCGCCACACCTACTACAGTAGTATAGTCGACTCTGCAGAAATCTATGCATGATATAATTATCTGAAGCTGGGCTGTACATCAGTGTGTGTGTGTGTGTGTGTATGTGTGTGTGTGTGTGTGTGTGTGTGTGTATGTGTGTGTATGTGTGTGTGTGTGTGTGTGTGTGTGTGTGTGTGTGCATGTGTGCGTGCGTGTATGTGTGTGCGTGCGCGCGCGCGCGCGCGTGTGTGTGTGTGTGTGTGTGTGTGTGTGTGTGTGTGTGTGTGTGTGTGTATACAAGGTGAATGGACAGTTTGTGACAATATGACTGCATGCGTGATGGTATACTGGTATGCTTGCGTGATTTGGTATCATTGTATCATTGCACGATTGTACGATTGTAAACACGGGAACACTGCAGAATACACACACACGTTGTGACACAGTCCATTAGTACCGCCGCTGAAGACATGCCATCATGCATGGCATGCCTGTGCAGTTCCACACCTCAATATTCCGGCATTTCCATCCTTGCAAAGGACAGAAAACGGCAGCCTGCCTAAAGGAACATCATTCCATGCACCGTAGTGTGAGAGTGGGATAGAGCGTGAGAGTGGCATACATGTAGGTGGTGAGGGTAGGGGATGAGGGTGGTTGTGATGGGAGGTGTGAGGGTGGTTGTGATGGCAGGTGTGAGGGTGGTTGTGATGGGAGGTGTGAGGGTGGTTGTGATGGGAGGTGTGAGGGTGGTTGTGATGGGAGGTGTGAGGGTGGTTGTGATGGGAGGTGTGAGGGTGGTTGTGATGGGAGGTGTGAGGGTGGTTGTGATGGGAGGTGTGAGGGTGGTTGTGATGGGAGGTGTGAGGGTGGTTGTGATGGGAGGTGTGAGGGTGGTTGTGATGGGAGGTGTGAGGGTGGTTGTGATGGGAGGTGTGACGGTGGTTGTGATGGGAGGTGTGACGGAGGTTGTGATGGGAGGTGTGAGGGTGGTTGTGATGGGAGGTGTGAGGGTGGTTGTGATGGGAGGCGTGAGGGTGGTTGTGATGGGAGGTGTGAGGGTGGTTGTGATGGGAGGCGTGAGGGTGGTTGTGATGGGAGGTGTGAGGGTGGTTGTGATGGGAGGCGTGAGGGTGGTTGTGATGGGAGGTGTGAGGGTGGTTGTGATGGGAGGCGTGAGGGTGGTTGTGATGGGAGGTGTGAGGGTGGTTGTGATGGGAGGTGTGAGGGTGGTTGTGATGGGAGGTGTGAGGGTGGTTGTGATGGGAGGTGTGAGGGTGGTTGTGATGGGAGGTGTGAGGGTGGTTGTGATGGGAGGTGTGAGGGTGGTTGTGATGGGAGGTGTGAGGGTGGTTGTGATGGGAGGTGTGAGGGTGGTTGTGATGGGAGGCGTGAGGGTGGTTGTGATGGGAGGTGTGAGGGTGGTTGTGATGGGAGGCGTGAGGGTGGTTGTGATGGGAGGTGTGAGGGTGGTTGTGATGGGAGGTGTGAGGGTGGTTGTGATGGGAGGTGTGAGGGTGGTTGTGATGGGAGGTGTGAGGGTGGTTGTGATGGGAGGTGTGAGGGTGGTTGTGATGGGAGGTGTGAGGGTGGTTGTGATGGGAGGTGTGAGGGTGGTTGTGATGGGAGGTGTGAGGGTGGTTGTGATGGGAGGTGTGAGGGTGGTTGTGATGGGAGGTGTGAGGGTGGTTGTGATGGGAGGTGTGAGGGTGGTTGTGATGGGAGGTGTGAGGGTGGTTGTGATGGGAGGTGTGAGGGTGGTTGTGATGGGAGGTGTGAGGGTGGTTGTGATGGGAGGTGTGAGGGTGGTTGTGATGGGAGGTGTGAGGGTGGTTGTGATGGGAGGTGTGAGGGTGGTGTTAGGGTTGGGTGTATGGTTAATTTAGGTTGGGGATGAAGCTGATTCTGGGAGTGGAGGTGGGTTAGGCATGATTTGGGTTGTGGTGAGGATGGGATGTGGTCGCTAAGCAACAGTGCCGACCGTACGTACATATCACGGTTGATTCGTGAATCCTCGGCGCGCACCACCAGTCCACGGATCAGATTGCTATGGTCAGCAAGCTCGGCCCGCAGTCTGCTGAATGCCTTATCCTGCTCGTTGACCTGCGAACGACAGTCATACATGTGTGCAGTAGGAAGAGTGTTGCCAGGTGAACCCACCCCACGGGTATCGGCGGTGCAACCTTGCAGGGGTTGGATTTCACCTCGCAACGCTGCATACATGTACTGTAAATATACAAAATTTCGGCGCTGCAAATTTTCGGCACTTCACGATTTTTGACATTTCGGCGGCGATTTATTTTGGGGGTGGGGTAGAGGGCATCGACAGATGCTGTGAAAATTTCATCGGCGTTTTAATTTAGGCGTTTTGGGTCGGTGCCGAATATAGCCGAAATTAAATAGCTGCCGAAAATTTGTATATTTACAGTACAGTGGTTCCAAGTGGATACACCCTTCCCCCCCCCCCCCCCCCGGTATCTCAGTTTTGCAAGTAAAAAGGGGTTGGATTTCACCAGGCACCGTACATGTAAAGCTGGTTAGGTGAAATCCAATCCCTGGATCCCAGCTTTACAACCTTGTTGGGGTTGAAGTCGTGCTAGTATCATAGCTACGAGTGCCGTCAGCCTTATGAACAACAACCTCGGTTGCAATACCAACTCACGGATAACGACACAATCTTTAGATCTGGGGACCATTTCACTGCATACTTCAGCACCCACTTGACAGCCACTCTCACACGGACGGAAGCAGATTCTCACACTCTGACAACGCATACTCTTGCATGTACCACACACCATAAACATCCCACATCACACCATACTCGCACGTGCACTTAGACCATCATATTACATCAGACACTGGATTCTACGAGACAAGAACCAAATACAACAACATGCGTAAATCATACTCGCAAAATAATTTTGCAATACTTTCATCCTCACGAATACTGACCTGAACTCGTGAACTGCAGCACTTTCCTCGTGCACCATCAAGGGTCGCTATTTGCTAAGCGACTGACTGCGAGCAGTGCTGAATACCATGCACTCTGCACCATAGTCAGATTGAAGCTGTCGTTCCTAGCGAAGTGTCGTATCCATTTTATCTTGACCCTGAACTTCAGCTTTGTACTTCCACTTTCTCTTTTTTCGCCATGGTATGTTAACAGATTTGCTCCTTCGTGCAATTGCCCGCAGCCACATTATGGAAAACAGGGAGACTGGAGATTACAGAACTACAAAAAGTACTTCCTCCGGAAACAAAAACTTCGCGACTTTTCACATGACTTTTCAAGGAGTTACTGTGCTGAACAAAAGTGTTCTATTGGAAGAGAAACACTTCAATACGCTCAATGGACATGTGTACGGTATCTACAAGGTCGATTGATGGGAATTGAGTCTCAGTCTGCGTCGCCATCGCTCGATTCATCACGGCTGGAACCAACCAAAATGGCAGGTCGATCGACGTGTTCTCGCATGTCACGGAGCAGCTTCTCAGCGTCTTTGATCGTCTTTGCTGGTACTAGTACATGATTTACACTGGTGCCTTCCCTAGAATCTAGGTGGAGACCGCGGTGGTGCTGGTACTCTGGTAACGCCTTGGCACCCGAGAATGCCCGTTAGGTGAAGAACATCAGTACCGTTGGTCAGTGTCGTTCAAGGTTATCGCATGAGCTGATTGTAAAGTAACTGGTAGTGTTAGTGGAGAATATAGCGTAACTTGTAGCTCTTTGGTCCTTTTTTCTTCTTAAAAATAAAGCTATGGGTGAAATCAACTGCGCACTCAGTACTCTGGCACACACGGCAAGGTAGGTCAAGAGTTTTCCAAGAACGTTTCACTCACCTTTTTAGCAAGCGCCACTATGTACTCTTCGTAAGTCGGGAAGTAACTCTGCGTGTTCACATCCTGTACACACGCATAGCAACACAACATAAATATTATTATTATTTATTCATATTTTACTAGGGCAGTCCCCACAGACCTATGGTCTTCTTACAGGGTGCCCTAGCCACGTGAAGATAGCGGAGCGAAATGCAGCAGGCAGGGATATGGTGCGAATCGCGGCAGGGAGGGAGTTCCATCGGTCAGTTCCAAGATAAGATACAGAGTGATAGCCAAAATACAATCTGGCATCGGGCAGTACCAGGCCGAACGATTCCTGAGAACATGACAGGGGTGCACATGACATCCACAGCAGGCTGTATACACTTCTACAGCGCTGCTCAATGAAATAAATGTACGGTCAAGCGAGTCAATGTCACGTCGGCCCGGGCATGGTGCAGCCCATAGACCTATGAACGGTGAACTGGTGCAGAGCGCAAGCTTGACGCACAGAATTGGATTTCATTAGGCAGTACTACTACACAATGCAGATGCATGCACATATTCCCACATCCTCATACTATACTGGGTATACACGGTGTACCACATTCTCACACACTCATACTGGGTATACACAGTGTACCACATGCACACATTTTCAGCAAAGGGATTAGCGGCAGGTACACCGATCTGCAAGGAAAACGGTTCATTTCTCTTTCACCTCATGGGCTAAAGGGGACCGGATCTATAGGGGAATAATGGTCTAGAATCAAAGTTTCACTGGTGGTAGTTTTCCAGGTGCCGAGTCTTGATCTGAGGAAGCTGAGATGCTCCCTACGTCCTATATTCCCAATTAAACTATAGCCTCTGGCAGCGGGGAAATTGTTTGTCTAGTACAATTTGAGTGTACAAAGTTCAAGACCGACTGCAATTGTCAGAGCGGGACGCAGAAGTTATTGGAAGATTCCCCTGACTATCACCAGGGATGTACGCGACTGCAGCCTCTTACCTTGGCGTGCAGGAACTGCGAAAACGACTGCAGTACATCGCCAGCAAGCTCAATGTCTTCGGTGAAGACATAGACCTGAAAGCCAAACACGGGTGACAACCCACAGATGCACGACAGCATCATAATCATGTGTTATTGGTCTAATGGCAGAACGATTTCTTATCACAGCCACAGCGTTTAATTATGTACGCCCCTACGTCCCGTATTATTCCTCTGGTACAATATCAAATGATGATAGTGTTTGAGAATAGTTTGAACGTCTCTCACAGTGTCCCACAATGGCACATTTGTTGTGAGCTTAAGGCCACACTGAGCTGTATGCCAGGCCGTGCATCTAACCTCTGCCTGGTTATGTGCATCTTACCATTGCCTGGTGATGCACTTCCAGTGTCAGCGTGCGTCCACGGTGCCTCAGAGATCGCACTCGGATGTGCTTGATGTGTGGGTCTTTCCAGTATTCGGCCGTCATAAAGAAGTCTTCACCCAGCCATCGGCTGAGGTCCTGTACAAAGTCAAAAATCAGCAATACAGGCCGCATCTGTTAAACGGACAAGCCAGCAGCTATTCTATTACTCTGTCCTGCACTCTCCGTGATGACGCTTTCGGCACACGCAGCCAGTTTGGCACTTGTGATCCCTTTAACTCATTTTATGCAGTCCCATGCATTACCATTCAAATGTTTCTGCTTTCAGTTTTTCTCTTTTTTATGCATTTGCTTCGTGGCAAAACTTGTTTTCAGGTACCAATAGTATTATGGCTGGGTTTGTATCAAGACTGGGCTCAGTATTGCTGAATGTCGAGTACGACCATGATCCGGGCACTACAGCTGATCAGCATACTTCCAGGAACAGTGAAAGACAGAAAGCCTTTCCTGCCAGGTCAAGCTTGTTCCAACTACAGGTCGAGAAAACAATCAACACAGAGGCCAATGTAACAGCTAAAAATGGAAAATTCAAAAGGTTACTGCGGCCCAGGGTACTACTATCTGCATGTGTGCTGAGGCGGGGAAATCGAAGGTCCCGACTCACACCAGGGACTAGCATTGGCATCTGGAACATCATTCCACTAGCAGTCAGCGGCACTTCATCGTCTTCAACTGATTGAGGTACTAAGAAGCTAAACCTGGATGTGAGCAACAACAAACAGCGCAACAGTACCCCGAGTAAGAAACATGACAATTGTCGACTATTGTCCTGCTGCGTCATTCAGCACCCTGACCGCTGAGAACGTGGGGAGTGACATGCAGTTTGCTATAAGCCGGCACACACTTAGTGGCACGCTTGCTTGTTGTGTATCAATAACACTGCCTTTCAGGAATAGAATATTATTGAAGCGCGCTGATTATCAATAATTGCATGGTTGGATGAAACTAGAAAAGGACAATTACTGTACGAAACTGCCAGACTACCCCATCACTTCACTGCAAGTGTGAGGTGCCGCGTTGGACAAGAACTATCTAACACATGTACACTGCATGGCAGGAATCCAGGGGCAGTTACTTCGTACCTGCATGGAGCAGATGTGTTCGCACCATGCTGATTGACGCTTAACACTGATATAAGGAGTATGCAATACACTTCCGTGACGTGCAAGTACTTCTCGCCGTGCAGTTCGGCATGGTATGATGATCGGCAGTGTTGTACTGAATCAGTCGTTTCCCGAAGAAGAAAACACCAAGGCTGGAAAGGTGGAGGGCATGGGAGAGACGGCGTGCGCTGGCAGTATAGTAGTATGGCACACGTAATGGAATAGTGACAATAAAGAGAGCGCATACAAGGTATGTATCGACTTTAGATTTACTGCTGCACAACATCACTAACACAGTGACCCAGGGCAAACATGATACTAACACACAGCTTCCCATGCAGTCATGCAGTCATGCGGCGGTCATGCAGTGCTTTAGCCTTTGTGATGTACTTACATTGGAAGCACCTTTCTCAGTTCAAACATGTGAAACTGCTCACTACAGTAGAATCCACATGCACAGCAACACACGCCATAAACACAACAAATATGCACAAACCGTTTAAATACGCACACACACACACACACACACACACACACACACACACGCACACGCACGCGCATGCACACACACACACACACACACACACACACGCACACACACACACGCGCATGCACACACACACACACACACACACACATCATTACAATCGCCCTCTGGTGTGACTACAACCACTGAGCCGGTGTTGAGACCACAAGTCATACTGATGGTGGCACATGCATTGCTGGAGGATAGGAGAGCCATGCAGTCTGGGCCAAGTGTACTCAATAAAACAGAGGCAAACTTACCTGAAATGGATACTCACAACACAACACAATATGCTTCTATCGTTACATGAAGTTTACACTTACCTAAACATCGTTCCCACCATCACCCGAATCTGAATATCCATAGATATATCTTTGGAAGGTGTCATCGGCACGTGCACCGATTTGCTCATCACTTCACGAGGCAGATATCTATGGTAAGCGAACACAAGTGTGACGCAGAGTAAGTGAGATCAGTGGAAGGAGAAGACTGGAGAGGAGGGCAAGAAGAAAAGATCTGTGACTGACCTCTACATTCTTACCGGGGAAATGGCCGAGGTCTGGTACTGCACTAGACTACTGAAATGACGGCTTAACTTTAGAGATCAGTGTCACACTGAACCGAGTCCACTGCTAAAACAATACTCTGGGATAGTATTCCTCGGTTGAATAACATTAATTGAAAGAGTCCAGCTTCCATTAGCACACATGGAACCCCACATGTTTTGGAGTACATCCACAGCACTGAGCTGCTGAGTACCCAGAAATGTACACATAACCTTGATGGACCTCTTCATGTATCAGTACAGACAACAGTCGAGTTGGAATGTCTAGTCATCACTCATATACAGCACAGCCTTCCTTACATTTGATGGCTCTCGTTTTCAAACAGTCCTTCTGCAAAGAGAACCACCGACTTGATCAGCGTATTGCCCAGCTTGGATCCTGAAGAGAAAACAACGCAATACGAGCGCAGCATGCCCACACACATGTCACAACCAGAGCTGCACAGTACTGGGCTGTTAATAGGAGCATGCCACAAGTGATGTATTTTTGTACAGAGCGGCAATTGTGAGCCACTCATCCAGTATGACATCGTTCTCACAATGGAATGTTGGTGATGCCGGTCAAGCCCAGTTTGCACTTCTAAAGGGGAAGTTAAGGCAAAAATTAAAATTTCACCAGTTATAGTCTTCGGGGTGCTGAGTCGAATGGTCTTGGTCCGAGAAAGCTGAGACGCTCCCTTCCTACTTGAATCCCAATCGAACTCGCGCACTTCCACCGAAACTGGGTGACTGCGCCCTACGAGATGGGGATTTGTATGCAAAATGTCACTAAAAGCGCCATTTCGTTCTTATAAAAGCACGGATGACCGCGATTGGCCCATATGTTGTAGTCTTTTGGACGCTGAGTCGACTGGTTTTGGTCCGAAAAGGCTGCGATGCAGCGTTCCTCCTTTATTCCCAATCGAACATGGTTGAAGAAGCGGTCACGTGCTCCTGGGTGCCAAAATCACCTGGTCACCGTGCCTGCAGGGTACAACTTACAGCCTGTTTTGACCTTTTTTGGGTGCAGTCCTGTCACTCGAGTTGAACCTTGGTGTGAAAGTTGTCGCCTGCTGGCGTGGTGACCAGGTGATTTTGGCACCCAGGAGCACGTGACCGCTTCTTCAACCATGTTCGATTGGGAATAAAGGAGGAACGCTGCATCGCAGCCTTTTCGGACCAAAACCAGTCGACTCAGCGTCCAAAAGACTACAACATATGGGCCAATCGCGGTCATCCGTGCTTTTATAAGAACGAAATGGCGCTTTTAGTGACATTTTGCATACAAATCCCCATCTCGTAGGGCGCAGTCACCCAGTTTCGGTGGAAGTGCGCGAGTTCGATTGGGATTCAAGTAGGAAGGGAGCGTCTCAGCTTTCTCGGACCAAGACCATTCGACTCAGCACCCCGAAGACTACAACTGGTGAAATTTTAATTTTTGCCTTAACTTCCCCTTTAAAAGAGTTTCAACTGACGGGGGTCTGAGGAAAACACTGAAGCTATGGTGTTGTGGTCATCCCCGCAGGGAACATTCAATATGTTCTTCAGACTTCACTGGGACTCATGCTTGCTGTGAATCCACGCAGACGGGTGGGGTACAACCCTCACTGTACACACACACACGACGGGTGGGGTACAACCCTCACTGTACACACACACACGACGGGTGGGGTACAACCCTCACTGTACACACACACACGACGGGTGGGGTACAACCCTCACTGTACACACACACACGACGGGTGGGGTACAACCCTCACTGTACACACACACACGACGGGTGGGGTACAACCCTCACTGTACACACACACACACGACGGGTGGGGTACAACCCTCACTGTACATACACACACGACGGGTGGGGTACAACCCTCACTGTACACACACACACACACACTACTGCTATACATTGATAAGTGCGTCAAAACTTCGTTGAAATTTGGTCACTGAAACACAATTTGGAAAAAAAATCAACCAAAATTCTGGCTTTTGGCCTTGGTACATGTAGACAGCTTACCAACAAGATCCACCTCCAACCTGAGATGGGACTGCAGGACAACACAAATATGACAAACAAGAAAACAGTGGACAATGGCAGCATACATGTAGACATTGGTCAAGTTACATAGAATGACCCTCAGTCAAGTTACTGGGGAAAAAGCACTGCGAACTAGCACACTGTCAACAATGGTGGCGGTATAATGTCGAATGCGAGCTGTATCTGTGCCTTGGCTTTCAGTTTGGTTACTTTGTTAACTCTTGGGTCTTCAAGTTGCCTCTGGGGCCTTTTTTCGGCCCCAGTTCACCTCTATAGATGGTGGTGTGACCGTCCACGTCAATGAAAACCACACATCCTCACATACATGCTGCACACTTCCTCACATAACTGTTTCATGCACGCATGCACGCACACATGCCAACAAGTACTGGTAACTGCAGGTACAGTTGGCAGTAATCTCAAAACTGAGACTGTCAAACGGCCCAAGCTCTGCCTGCAAGATAACGCAAGTCATGGTTCAACGGTCATGGCAGAACTGCACTCTCAGTAAACAAACATGCAAAGCACACATCAATCCATAGATACGGTCTATGAACAGCCAGGGAATCGGTCACTGGAAATCTGCCTAAGTAAACACGGACAGTGTTGTCTTACCTCTCCATCTGGTCTCTCTTGCAATCCTATGCTGCACTCCACCTTGGTGTCCACCTGGATACCAGCAACGGAACACACATACATATTGGCTTAAACACACACACACACACACACACACACACACACACACACACACACACACACACACACACACACACACACACACACACACACACACACATGCCATAGTAATATACATGAGGCATGCCATCATAACTATTGATTTGTTTGTTTCAATGCACCATGTGACATGGTGCACCCTGCATACCATCTTCTGCAATCAGTGACCACAGTCATGTCACTGTCGTACAAGCATAGAAGAAGGTATAATGATGGATGCATGAAGTCCTTGAACAAGACGTGATGTAAGCGGAACAGAAGATACCAAGAAGAGAGGGAGGGAAGGGAAGAGTACCAAGTTGTTCCCTGTTCAGAGAGCTTAAGGTAGCTCAACTTAGGAAAAACTTGGTCCGAAGATTGTACACATGTAGGAAGGTGTGGAAAAAGTAAAACTGAACAACCTTCGGACCAAGTTTTTCCTATTGAGCTACCTTAAGTTGTCTATGCTTACATGTATGGTCATCATCTTTGTACCATCCATTTGAATAATACCATGTGCACCCATGTTTGTCTTCAAGTTGGGCATGGCCTGCACAAACAAGAATAGAAGGCAATGATTCGCAGCTACAGAAAACCAAAAGCACAGGCATGTAGCAGAACTCCTCTGGACCTGGCTCGGCCAAACAACATGTTTCAGAGCAGCTCTCAACACTATTACCATTATTTTCAGTACAGTTATGTGACAGGATCAATCAGCATTACCAGAGCGACAACATTGCATGATGTTCATTCCTAGTGCAACAAAGGCTAAGCCGCTAGCAATCGAGAATGCAGCAGAATGCTTTGCAAAAAAAAGATATTGCACGAAGAATTTCTTGCTACAGCTGCGGTCAGTGCTACAACACCATGTACCGCAATAGCTCCCACGGACACCTTGCTCTATTTAGGAATTGTAGGACGAAATCACCAAAATCATGGCAAAATGTGCAGTAGGTGGACAGGGGGAGGTGACGTTAGGAGGAAAAGGAGGAGGAGGATGAGGAGGAGAAGAAGGAGGAGGAGGAGGAGGAGGAGGATGAGGAGAAGGAGGAGAAGGAGAAGGAGAAGGAGGAGGAGGAGGAGGAGGAGAAGGAGGATGCGGAGGAGAAGGAGGAGAAGGAGGAGGATGCGGAGGAGGAGAAGGAGGAGGATGAGGAGAAGGAGGAGGAAAAGTAGAATGAGGAGGAGGAAGAAGAGGAGGAGGCGTAGGGGAGGAACAAGGGAGTGGAGAAAGAGGATTAGAGGTACAAAAGGAGGAGGGAGAGGAAGAGGATGATAAAGAAAAGGAGGATCCTGCGGTAATGCAGTAGTGTGGTTAATATGAACACTCTTAACCTTGATTCTCAAAGAAGAAGGAAACCTATATAAAGGGATCATGCAGACACTATACCTACAGCCACCAATCGTTCTATAACAATTATAAGTTCCCATACCTTGATATTATCATTTTCAGCACTCAACTGATCCAACAGTGCCTGCAACATGTGTAAAGAGAGAGAGAGAGAGAGAGAGAGAGAGAGAGAGAGAGAGAGAGAGAGAGAGAGAGAGAGAGAGAGAGAGAGAGAGAGAGAGAGAGAGAGAGAGAGAGAGAGAGAGAGAGAGAGAGAGAGAGAGAGAGAGAGAGAGAGAGAGAGAGAGAGAGAGAGAGAGAGAGAGAGAGAGAGAGAGAGAGAGAGAGAGAGAGAGAGAGAGAGAGAGAGAGAGAGAGAGAGAGAGAGAGAGAGAGAGAGAGAGAGAGAGAGAGAGAGAGAGAGAGAGAGAGAGAGAGAGAGAGAGAGAGAGAGAGAGAGAGAGAGAGAGAGAGAGAGAGAGAGAGAGAGAGAGAGAGAGAGAGAGAGAGAGAGAGAGAGAGAGAGAAACCGGCTCAGTACAGGCCATTCCCAAGTCATTTTGAAAGTCACTGTGTCAAACCTGCACATCTGCCAGCTAACCGTGACTGCATCATCTTACCAACTGGATATCGGAAGGCTGCCAATAGCTGTGTGCATGCAGTTCGGCAAACTAAGAACTTGCTTGCACATTGTTCTACAACGTACATGCATCGTGACCTGCATTGCATTGCATTGCATTGCAGTGCATTGCAGTGCATTGCATTGCATTGCATTGCAGTGCATTGCAGTGCATTGCATTGCATTGCATTGCAGTGCATTGCAGTGCATTGCATTGCATTGCACTGCAGTGCATTGCAGTGCATTGCATTGCATTGCAGTGCATTGCAGTGCATTGCATTGCATTGCACTGCAGTGCATTGCAGTGCATTGCATTGCAGTGCATTGCAGTGCATTGCATTGCAGTGCAGTGCAGTGCAGTGCAGTGCATTGCATTGCATTGCATTGCAGTGCATTGCAGTGCATTGCATTGCAGTGCATTGCATTGCAGTGCAGCTGCCATCAGAGATGGCATGAGCAGTGGCCATAGTTGAACATTCACCAACCCACAGGCTGTGGAGGTTGGGAAACACCCTTGCAAATACTACACACACAGGTGTATACGCACGCACGCACGTACGCGCGCACGAACGCACACACACACACGCCGGTGTTCAACAGTGAGATAGGGCAAACAGCTCTTGTCAGACAGTACCTTCCGAGCCTGACGCAGCGTCTGGACTTCAAACTCCTGTTCGTTATTCATCTGCGCCGTCGTCTTCAATGGATTGCTGCCAGGTGCGTTGAAACACTTGACTGCACGCAAAAGGAGGGTTAAGCACATGCTGTTGTTAACAGCAGAAAACCTGTTCTGCTTTTGAAAACGCCACATGTACTGTCAATACACAGCCAACCTTATGCAGGGAGACGAACAATGCCGTAGACTAAACCATGGTCAACCTGTACTCGTACCGTATTCAAAACCACATGGACGGATCAATCATCTAAAGTAATAATAATAATATTTGCAGATCCGCGTCAGCATCGCTTGAGTGTTCAGAAGCACACAAACTAGCCTGCGCATCCGCAGGCCGCCACCATGCCTGTTCACCTTAGTGGCGAATGCAGACCTCACAAGTGAGTCAGGGGAGAGGAGGCGAGTCTCTCAACCAATCAGGCGTGTAACCGGGCCCATAACCTCATAAACTGCATCCATCATCTGCACATGAACAAGCGCTTCCAGCAAATGCCGAGTTGTTCGAGTACGAGAATGCATATTATCGCAAATCTGAACTGTGACAATACGTACCTGAGCCGTCAACACAGCAGCAGAGCAAAGAATTAGTGCCCTCCATAGTATAGTCACCCTGTATAGAAAGAACGGACATTGAAGTGAAAGAGAGCTTCTCTAACATACTAACTTAGTACATATCATTCCCAGCAATCCCAGGGGCGTAGGAGGGGTTTTGGAAGTGGTACGACCGAAGGTCGGCACCGGGCCAAAGGCCGTGTTGGAGGGGGGTCCGGGGGACCTCCCCCGCGGGAAAATTTTGTAAAAAAAGACACAAAATCCTGCGTTCTGGGAACTTCTGGCACACTTCTGGCGCAGTGTGCAGTCGATCGAGTCGAGTACAGTACTCAGTACGACTGCAGATGCATGGCAGATCTACGAGTACGAGTCTAGAAAAAGGTCAAAGTCTGATGATATGCATCGATGGAACCTGATTTTTTTATTACAGTTTTGCACGTTTCGGACGGACCACGCTTTTCGAAAAGTGGTAAGGCCATGGTCGTACCAGTCGTAGCGGATGCTACGCCCCTGAACCAATACAATGTGTACTCCTGATCAGACCCCCACCCCGGTCATTCCTGCACCTAAGTTTGTGTCTCTAAGCAGAGAAAGACGCCGTCGACAAACTCCCACTACCTATAGATTGAGACATCAGTTGTACAGTAAGCTCTGAATCTAGGCCAACGGGTGACGCATCAGTAGTGCCGTGAGGACAAGCAGAGAACGCCGATCGTGACTTACCTGAACAATGCCAGCAATACCAGCCGGCAACATCGTTCTCATTAGAAGGTCTCCAGTTCTGTGATGCCGTACATCAATCTAACACCGAGAACACCCACACCCACGCACGCACACACACACACACACACACACACACACACACACACACACACGACACCGCAAACGACAAATGCCAACACTCAGCTTATATTAATGACTAGTACTTTTGGTGCCAAGACAATGTTCTTGTTCTGAACGGTTAGGTACAAAGTATGCAGATTCTAAAACTTTTCAACTGCAGGTGAAAACTTTGAGGAAGCCCGTCTGGATACATTTCTTGAGTTTCACAGGTGTTGTACGATAAAGTAGTCAATCATTGCAATAGTGTTGCTGAATTGGAGCTCATGCAACACCTATGATTGTGTATAGCAATTTAAAATTTCACGGTTCGCGTCAGACTCGGCTAGAGGCCGAGTTTTCCGCATTATATCCTGTAGAAGATCGAGTAGTAAAAAAAAGAAAGTATGTTATCGTGCCCGTTCCCAAGGGAACTCACGACGGCCGCTAACACCGGTAAATCCAGATTCAGTAGGGACGGCGCAAAAAGGGCAGCAGTTGACTGTTCTGAGAGACAGTGTCCAACCCCACGACAGAATCTCATAGCAAAAATCAAGAGATTTTAGAAGAACTTGGAGTAGAATGTTCTCACCTTGCCTTTGGACCAGCCGGAAACCACTTCTACTTCTCCGTCTAGATTGTAGTCATAGGCTAGCAGTGATGTTGGAACGTTGCGGGACTGCAGAGAGACGGTCAGAGCAACACATGCACAGGACTGGACAGACATTACATGGCTGTAGTAGGGTGATGATCAGAGTGGCAACACACACCGGGACTGGACCAACATTACAGGACTGCAGAGAGATGGTGGTCAAAGCAACACACCATGTCAGCTGAAAAGCAAAGTAATGTTTTCCAAACATCCATACATGCACAACTTGGGGAAATCAAAGAGCTGAATCTGACGAATACTAGTAATACAAACTGAGTGAATTACACGCTTGCACACACACACACACACAGAGACAGACAGACATGCACAATCATGTACGTGATACCATGTCTACACACACACACACACATACACATACACACACACACACACACACACACATGCTATCTAACAAGGTATCCCCATATTTATGTACTGGTATTTCCCACCTTGATTCTCCACATCCGCCTGAGGCCTTCGTACACACCAACTGACCCGTTGTCCAGGGAAAATGCAAAGGAATGCTGCTGGAGTGGACATATGTCCAAAATTGCCTGTCAACCACACCAACCATACAGCAATGCACAATAGCTTATCAGCCACACCAACAACAGTGTGTGCAATGGCATCATGTTATGTGCGTCAAACGAAGTGATGGTGTTTGACTACGGTGCACCAATGACATGACTGCCAGAAAGATTGGTAAGTTCTCACTGAATGCTAACGCATTGTAATACAAATAGGTAGAAGCAAATGTTACTGAGCAGAACCAGACAGTCAGGGTTATTGCCAGGATACACCTTTTGGGTAAGTCCTACAATCTCAGGAAATCCACTGGTGATGCTAACTCTATTCTACAGTATCATCCATGGACAGAGTAAGATGGCTAGAACAATCCTGTAAAAGCAGAAATTTTCGGTGGTGTTATTTTCGGTAACTTCGGTGCCGACAATTTTTACCTAAAATACAACGCACCAAAAAGTTTGGTACAAGTACTAGCACACTTTAATACCTGGAAAATGGGTTTACCGATAATTTCCCTCCACCAAACTGCCGATTGTGGAGAATACCGAAAAAATACACCACTGAAAATTTCTGCTTTTGCAGTACCTTATCACTGAGTTCAAACAATGAAGAGAACCAGACTCAGGTTTCCTGCACATCAAATCATTCAGTGCCACAGCACACTTACATCGGCTTCGCTGATTTCTGCTACCATGTCCTCTCCTTTGAAAAACCGTATGTCGTAGTCGTCCGATCCGACAAGCAGCTACAAAGGAGGGTGAGCCACCAAAAATATACCACACGGGGTTCAAAGCTTGGAAGTCGTATAAGGAACATCGGTGAGATCACGACAACACTTGAAAACTCAATAACACCCCAGCCAGGCATACTGCAGCAACACTGTACAAAACGCAAAGTGCATGAAACACTTCTCCGTTTACCTCAGACACACCATCCAAGTTGTAGTCGACTAGAGCGATGGCCTGTACGTTATCACCCGTCACCTGCAAGGTTGCAATAACATACCGGAAAGGCAAGGCATCAAATGCAGCCCCAATTGCGCACGGTATTTATAACAGCTTTCATACTCTTGATGCCCGGCATGGCATATAATGACGAAGACAAGCCACTGCATACTACGGCACTGCGGTAACGAGCTGGGCCAGAGTTGCTGGAAGTGCAAGGAAAGAAATAGGATATCTCAATGTCTGGTCCAATCTGGCCCTGACGTTTCGCCTATGAACACATCCTGGTGCATACTACTGTAGTGCATCACCAATGATGTCATCAGACAAGTAAGTTACGTCACCAATGATGTCATCGGACAAGTTAGTTATGTCACCAATGATGTCATCAGACAAGTTAGTTACATCATGCACAACCTGAGGATAACTAGTCTAGAGCAGAGCAATGTGGTTACCGTCCAGTATTGGTCGTTTCCATCCATGTCCACACCAGTGACAGAGCAATTACCACCGGAGTAGACGAGCGGCTCTGCGTGATCACCAGCAACGCCGATAGTCATGCAGTTCACTCCGTGTAGGTGCTGTACATGTACATCGATACATCACCAGAAGAAAAACACAGAACACACACACACACACACACACACACACACACACACACACACACACACACACACACACAAAAGCGGATGCTGACGCTGATTACTAGTACACTGACTTCATTTTCAGCAGACCGTGATGGGCTCGTGTTGTAGCGGGAACTCCCCACCACATGTGGTCTTCGGCGACCTCGTTGACCACAGCAGGCACATAACTCAAAGTTCTAGATGTGCTAGAGTGAATTCCTCCATATGGCTGTTTTAACCCTGCAGATCAGGTTATGGAAGTGTTGTGCTGTGCTGAGTACAGCCAACTTGTGAAATGCACTTAATCCTTTATTCAGAGAACAACTGTACAAATTAGATACAGCAGTCACGCTCTTTGAGGTGGTAAAAGTGCAACACATGGAGAATAAATGAAGGAAGTGTGAGCTCAAACTTTCGGAGCAGCCACCCACCTTCTTCACCTACATGACATTGTATTATTGCTGAAGTCACAACATCTTAGTTCAAACTTGGAGAATAAGTGTGAGACCACACCGATATGCGTAAGGCACAGTGGACATAGATGTATGTTATACTGTAGGTGGGAAAGATATCAAAGCGAATTGAAGCAACGCCATTCGGACGAAATAACGAGAGAGCTTGGAAGCTCAGGGCCCTGCGCTATGCTTTGTTGCCTAGCTCATCGTGCATGTTGTTAGAACTGATGGAAATGCTTTTTCCTTTTATTAGCTACATCATTGTATTGCAAAAACGTTTCAATGAGTTACTGAAGTAACGTCTTCTGCATAGCTATGGGACCGGCGCTGACTCTGCCGATCACGGGCGTTCTGGAGTCGACGGGATGTCGGTCCTGACGTTTCCTGGCCCCCGACGCTGACTCTGCCGATCACGGGCGTTCTTCTTCTTCTTATTATCATACTGACGGCAACTAACATCCATTCTGATTGCATTTACTCGTCTCCCTACTTTGTATTTCTTTCCAGAAAATCTCACCATACAGCAGGGAGTCGTTTACATAATATGACTCCCTGCTATACATCTACACGACTGTATATACGTTATAATTATTATGCTATTGGCCTACATACCATTCCCGGGCTGGTCGACAGGCGGCCCAACCAGCCTGCTAGTGGGATCTCGGCCTCGCACACAAATCCACACAAAATGTTACTGCACTGAATGCATTCCCCCGATACACTTCGCATATATACTCATTCTCTTGATGGTACCGTACTCTTGATGGTACGGGACAGGTACGGGATAGCGCCAGGCATGTCGATGGCACAAACAAATAAAAATATTGTGGCCAGCTGTCTTTCCTGGTACGGTACGGTACGGGAGAGATACGGGATAGCGCCAGGCGTGACACAAACACACAAACAAACAAACAAACAAACACCAAACGAGAGAGCTTGGAAGCTCAGGGCCCTACGCTATGCTTTTATGCTTTTTTGCCTAGCTCATCGTACATGTTATAAGAACTGAGGCAAAGGTATTTGCAGAATTTATTGCGGATTGTTATTTCTCTAATAATCATCTACTTTTGGTTTGCTCCTTCTTTTCTTTTTATCTCCTTATACTGTAAATCAACAAATTTTGGCTGATGAGAAATAGAAACCTCTCTATTAGAGAGGTTAAGATGCACGTTATTTCCGACGTGACGCGCAATTTCACGTCAAATTTGAAATCGATCGGTATTTTTGCTCTCACATGCATCCATTGCTCAATCATGCATCATTTGCCTATATGACAAACTTTGGCCTGCGATTTACTTTGGCCGGTTGGTACCAAGCGGCGAAATCAGCGAAATTAAATCGCCAGCGAAAATTAGTTGATTTTAATACAGTAATCGGATTTTCTGGCCTTTTTGTAGTAATACATGTACATTGACCTGTTGAGCCAATGACGACGCGGAATGCATGGTTGCCTGTGGAGCACATTACATAACTTAGCAGTCTCCTAAAATACGTATCCTGTCCGACGGCAAAAGAGTCTGCAGATTTAGTTTTTCTGCGCGTCGACCGGATGTCTGCGACGCGAAAGTTCAGCTCGCGTTATTTGGCTCGCACGTCGAAAAATCAACGCGAGTGACCTGCTGCTCACGTGGAAATTTGGACATTACATAACTTTACAGTCTCCTTTAATCCGTATCCTGTCCGACGGCAAAAGAGGCTGCAGATTTAGTTTTTCTGCGCGTCGACGGGATGTCTGTCCTGACGTTCACTGGGACCGGCGCTGACTCTGCTGATCACGGGCGTTCTGGACTCGACGGGATGTCTGTCCTGACGTTTCCTGGGACCGGCTTAGACTCTGCCGATCACGGGCGTTCTGGACTCAACAGGATGTCTGTCCTGACGTTGCCTGGGACCGGCGGACTCTGCCGATCACGGGGGTTCTGGAGTCGACGGGATCTCTCTTCCGACGTTTCCTGTGACCGGCGCTGAATCGCTCGTTCACGCTTATTTTGGAGACGACGGGATCTCTCTTCCAAAGTACATGTATGTTTATGCTGACGCATCCTATCACCTATTCGGCGTGTATTCTAATTTAATTTCCTCCTCGTTTCCCTATTTCTTTCCAAATCTCCCTCTACATCAGGGAGTCGTATACATAATACGACGAATATTGGTACGGTACAGATACAGGAGCCCGCAAATATTGTGGACAGCTGTTATGTACAATCCTGTAGAGCCTTTGTAGTCACAGATACGGGTAGGACTAAAGGGACAAGCTTATCTATTTTTGCGGATTTTCTTTCATAAAAAATAAACGTCACAGGCTGCTCTTCGGAGGTGTCCGCGTCCCAGCGGTCCGAGCAAGCGACCGCATCTCAGCGGGACACTTGTCCGTGGCCTTTGTACTGGAATCTGTGGGAGAGCCTTTCCAGGGACTACACACCTGGGTACCGGGTATGGACAAATCTCCGGTGTTGCTCCTTTGTTGTTCCTTTCCTTTTTATTTGTTTTTGTTGAGAAAGAAACGTTGCTGCATGAAAAGCTTTCTGTTCACGCCAGCGCCTTTGGCACTTGCTCTAGTAACATTGCTGGCTGATAATGGTCATTGCTCGTGATGCCAATGGTGAAGAGAAGCTGGGTTTCTTGCCATTTGAAACTTCCTGATTCTGAAAATGTAGCTTGAACTAAGAGCTCCAAGTATCAAGTTTAGTTTTTCGTTGTGCCAGACCTATTGTTAGAAGCTGCAGAGATGAGGAGCAAGGGCCTAGCCTTGGGAGGCGTTGGATTAATGCCAAAAATGGTGTTTATGGCCCTGAAGACGCCAGCAGTTTTCACTTGTCAGGAGGACAGCCAAGTTGGACCAGGCAGATGACAGATTATTTTGAGCATTTATAGCAGATCGTCTCAGCACCTGCCACTGTGCGCTCTCCCAGAATTGTATGCAGAAGTTACATGCCTGTCACAGTGTGCAATGGACAACGCGTTTGCATTGCTTATGGATGCAAGCGGATGGAGTGTAGACCAGATGAGAGAAAGTGATCCGGATATTCAACTAGCTTGGACTGCCATAATTAATTGGCCTGGTGCCTGGACCATCTGAACATTGCTCCGAACCAATCCACAGAAACAGTACCCACACAGGAAGCCAAATGATAAACCCATTCATCAGCTATCGAACCTTTCATCAAAATGTAATGCAGTGCATGCCTACTACTACTACTAATCAAACGAGATCAACGGATGCCACATCAACAGATACAACGTGGAGGCCCAGTATTTTCAAGAACACAGTGCAGTCTAGACAACTAGAACAACGGGTCTTGCACCTAAAATCCCTGATTTGCTTGCCGTATTTAGGTCCTTGCAATTCTCCGAGGGTTATGTACCACAGTATGAGATATATGAGGGATCCCGGCAGCATGATAGATCCATCGGTACGTGAAATTCTCCTGGACGTTTGTGTGTGGTTATAGTGGTACAGGACATGTGATGTACGCCTCTTTGGTCGCTCACACATGATCCATTGCCAGATTTTTGTTACGCTTTTTGTTATGACTTACGCTGCTCTGCATACCCACCCACTCTACTGTAAAAAGTAGAGACTCTCGCTTGCCATTAATTTATCCGATAGTTTGACTCTCTAGAGTATCCCTACTACATGTATTATATGATAATTTATATTGCCAATGCTCTAGACAGCAAGCTGTTTTACAATTATCCTTCTACGTGACATTGTATATCTTCTTGACACCATGACTTTCTTTGAAGGTCTTGTAGCTATGAAATGTTATTTGCTGCAGGTCATGTGTGTGTGTGTGTGTGTGTGTGTGTGTGTGTGTGTGTGTGTGTGTGTGTGTGTGTGTGTGTGTGTGTGTGTGTGTGTGTGTGTGTGTGTGTGTGTGTGTGTGTGTGTGTGTGTGTGTGTGTGTGTGTGTGTGTGTGTGTGTGTGTGTGTGTGTGTGTGCATGCGTGAATGTCCCACGCGTGGGTAAATATACAGTCATGTACGTGTTCTGTGCCACACAATTTCACTGTCTGTATGACAGCACAGCGGCAGGCATAGAGAGAGAGAGAGAGAGAGAGAGAGAGAGAGAGAGAGAGAGAAAGAGAGAGAGTTTTAATAATATCTTAGATGTGACTTCTGCAGTGCTACATGTACTTGTATGATCGAGCGTACGAGTGTGTGTGTGTGTATGTTTGGGTGTGTGTGCGTGTGTGAATGTCCCACGCATAGGTAAATATACAGCCAAGTCTGTGGTGCCACAGAATTTCATTATGTGCAGAAGAGTGGCCGGCGCAGAGATAGAAACAGACAGACACAGAAAGACAGACACAGAAACAAAAGGATGCGCATGAAGAGCGACAGACAGAGACACGAACTCAGAGAGAAAGAGACAGACAGACAAAGACGATCAGACCCAGAAAGACAGAAAGAGAGGGACAAACATTAAGAAAAAACAGGAGAGACAGACAGACACACAGACTCAGGAGAATAACAGACAGAGATAGATAATGTGTGTG